CCAGGGAGTTCCATACAGCCTGGACTACAATGAAACAACCAGCTTCCCCAGGACGTGGCAGCATCCCAACCTTCCCCCCAAAGATGGTCAACGCCCCCCACGTCAGCAGGAAGCAGTCTTAAGAATTCGACCCCCTTATTCCTTACCCCGCCATGTCTAAACACCCCACCTTTTTAAATAATAAGTAGAGGTGGGAATGAAAGGTTCAGGCATTATGCTGGCCTGCCCCTGTTACCTGGTGGAATCCACTCAGGCAATACCCTGGTCAGCCCAAGGTTCCATGGGAAAGAAGTCTGCACGCAGGTGCAGAGTACCCCTTTAAAAGATAGGCCCCTGCCCCTTTACACTCTCTCTCTCCCCGTCTCTCTCTCTTTGCCCCTTTACTCTCTCTCTCTCCCCCTGTCTCTCTCTCTCTGTGTGTGCTCTCCCGTCTCTGTTTCCCGCTCTGTCTCTCTATGGCGACCGGCCATGGCGGTCAGCCATTACCCTGTTCCTCTTCTTAGTCTCCCCATTCTACCGGGCCTTATAATAAACTTATAGTCAATATGTCTGTCTCAGCAATTCCTCTTTTCTTCTTTTTAAACAAAACAATAACACCTACATCTGTCTATGGAACACAATGTTGTCTTCTCTGTATTTTATGAGGAATGTCACAAGATGGGAGAAGAGCACTCATGAAAATGGGCTTCTGGCACAAACCTCAACACTCATTACATGTTTATAAAATAAATCCCTGCTCTCAGAAAACAAAACAACCCACACAGAGAGACTGTTTCAATTTAATTATATTATGAAAACAAAAGTCACAACAGGAAATGGCAGCAGGGTATCTGACAAGCTCAATTAGCAGGAGAACCAAATAAAGTGATGGCCTGCCATTATGACCTCAGGAGTTAAAGATCCAATTTTCCATCTGGCAAAATCTAGATTTCCAACACAGATGCTGACTCCACATGCTGTATAGTGTCAGGTGTTGTCTGGAGCTACCCTGAGCATCCTCCAGCCAAAAGGTAGCCAGGGAGCTTTCACAATGCACTCTAATTTAATTGCTTCCTCGTGAACAGAAATAAGAAATAAATTCCATATCATGGTTCATTCAAAGAGGTATTACAAGGCAATCTCGGCAGTAACAGAAGCCTCTTGCTCTCTCCCTTCCAGGTCAGCACTGGTACAACACTGTGCTGTTGTGTTCTACAGCAACCAGGAATTGTTCCAACCAAGACCTCTGTAAGTCTCAACAAACAGCCCCTTGCTACTGAAGTGGATCACTGGCTATGCCTGATGAGAAGTAGATCTATGCACTCAAGTCCTTCCTGACATACAAATGTACTGCCTTTTAAAGTTAACAGTCAACTGACTTTTCTTCCTTGACTGAGGCAAGGCAAAACGATTTTACAAATCAAGAAAATTTCACTGAGCAAGTGCTGGAGCCTATTTGAAAGTGTTCAGACTCTTTGATACCTATGCTGCAAGACTGTAAAGTTTGATTTTCTTATACTTTGAAACATGAACTTGCTAAGTCAGGGGTCAGTGGACAAAGGCACAGCTCTTGTTTGCATTGGACTTAAATCTTGTGACTTTTACACATGTAAATGTCAGTGCCCATGCACCCACACAGCGCCACCATAGGTATAGGTCTGGGTACCTGGTCTTGAGATTTCCATTCAGAAGGGAGGTTAGCAATTCTGTGTGCACACCATTTGGGTTTGAATCTAGAAGGCCCCACAGTCTCATCTGTCTGAGCACAAACCAATCTCTTCTGATCAAATTTTTATCCACTTACACCTATCTCCCTAAACAATTCACCAAGCTGTCTATGTTAATGAAGCCTGCCAACCCCCTTTCCCCATAACACCCCCAAAGTCTCCCCCCGCCAGACAGCCTTTCTATGAAGCCCAGGTGAGTCCCAAATGCCCCTGCTTAGAATCCAGCTGTTTCTAAAGTGTTTAGTAGCTATGTGGTTTTCTCTCACATTAAGACTTAACTCTCCAGGCATTTCATTTTCTTCCTCCAAGTTAAGTGGTGTTTTACAAATGCAAACATGTACAAATTTCCCAGGGACACAAAACTTACTTGGCCTTCTGAATCCATACGCAGTAGTCTGAGATGTAGAGATCATTCAAAATGAACGCTGGGTCATTTTCCTGAAAGATTTTGTGAACATCCAGGAGACACTTTAAAACTGCACTCTTACCTGAAGAAAAATTTTAAAAACATCCAGTCAACCTTAAGGGGGGAAAAAAAAATCTGATTTCTTAACCAAGGCATTATGATCTTACGAGGTAATGTATTTAAAACAGCTCATAGTTTTATCAGTTTCTTAAGAATATTTTAACTATGAACCATCTCTCCAGCCCCTTACTTTTTTATTTTTGAAACAGTCTTACTAAGGGACCCAGGCTGTCCTTGCACTTGTGATCAACCTGCCTATCTGCTGAGTATCTGGGGTTACAGGCCTGCACTGCTGCCTGGCTTGAAAGCACATTTTGAAAGAGAGAGAACTTGTGTTTTTTTAAGTGGTGGTGCCCAATATCTAGAAGAGATTAGTACATTAGCAGGTTCTACTTTCAACAACCTGAATGAAGTCTATGCATAGCTCAGTGATCACTCAGCTTCTTTCCCTGCTGAAATCTCTATCCACACAAAATCTCTATCCTTTCCCCTTGAAATGCCTTAATCCTGCCCTCTCTCCCCGGCCACCAGAGTCTGCATCCTTTCACACATCCATCATCTCGTGTATAGAGTCAAGAATTCTTCCCCATCTTTGGTTCTAGTCTCTCCGATTGGCCACACATTTTGTGATGTGTTGTTTATCCCAGTCCTGCATGTGCTTTCAAGACTATGGCATTTTCTAATGTATTCCTCTTTTCTTTTCCACTGACATTGTGTGTTGTCAAGGTCTACCAAGTCTTACATCCCTTCAGCAAACCCTCAGCTCATGTCCCTCTACTAAACTCTGCAAAGGGAATAGAAAAGAGAGCCATGAGATCCTTCCTATAACCTCCTTGACTCTCTTCACTGGAGAACCCCAGGCTCCAGGCTGTAAGAAAGAACCACAGACCACCCACTGTGCCACGCTACCAATATACTCTTGGGTCATGCAATCATATCACATTTTATTATTCAAGAGCTAAGTTTTTTAAAACACAGGCCAGGCCTTTCCAAAAAGTGGTAACCATGCAACGTCCTCATATGCAGACAGGAAGAATACCAATGAAAGCTCTATTGCTAGCCTAAGTGTGATAATTAGCTAGCTCAGAAATACAAGACAACAAGTTCATCCAGTTAAGTCAAGGGCAGGACTTCAATTGTGATTAGAACGGACTCCTCCACTTCCTGCCTATTTTTAATATGAAGTAGGTAACATGGAAGGCAGAGTTTCAAGAAAAGAAGAAGAAATAGAGCAAATATCTGTAGTGAAACCAGAGTGTCACCAAAAATAAAACAAACCCAAAGGTGAACTGAACCTGGAGGAATGGTTGGAATAGTTCCAACTGCCAAAGGGACAAAAAATGTCACACCAGGCACACACTAACTGGTTCCCTCTTGGTTTCTCTACTCTGGTGCAGAGGATGGAGCAGGCAGGTGTTAAGATTTGTGATACCAACTGTCCTAGCTTGTTTTCTTTTGCTGTGACAATGGCAGGGAGGCAGGGAGGAGGATGGGGGGAGGAGGGAGATAGGGGGAGGGTAGAGGGAAGTTTATTTGGCTTATACTTCTACATCACATCACAGTCCATCACCAATGGAAGTCAGGGCAGGGGCTCAAGGCAGGAGCTTGGAGACAGGAACTGAAGCAGAACCATAAAGGAACACTGCAACTTACTGGCTTGCTCAGCCTGTGTCTTAGTTAGGGCTTCTATTGCTGCAAACACCCTGACCAAAAGGTAAGTTGGGGATGAAAGGTTTATTTGGTCATGGAGGGGTGCTTGCTTCCCCTGGCTTGCTCAGCTCACCTTGTGAAGCCCAGGGATGGCACCACCTACCATGGGCTGGGCCCACCCCCACTGATCATTAATTGAGAAAATGCTTTATAGTTGGATCTCATGGAGGCATTTCCTCAACTGAGACTCCCTCCTCTGATGACTTGAATTTGTACCAAGTTGATACAAAAAACCCAGCCAGTATAGCTTGTTTTCTTATATAACCCAGGACCACCTGCCCAGTGGTGGTACCATCCACAGTGGGCTGAGACTTCCCCTATCCATCATTAATCAAGAAATATTTCCCACAGACTTGCCTACATGCTAATCTGATGGGGGCAATTCCTCAATTGCCCTTCCTTTCTTTCTGATGACTCTAGCATGTGTCAAATTGACAAAAACCTAACCAGAACCCTGACTGACTGATTGACTGACTGACTATAAAGAGTTTCAAGTAGCAATCACAGGTTTTTGCCAGAAAGCTATTCACTTGTAACCTGACTCTACTTCTCCACAGTGTGACAGCCCCAGAACACTCGCTCCCAGGATCTTGTACCTTCCTAATATAACCAGATGAACAAAAACTGCAGGGTTTAGGATGGTAGGGAGAGCACTGGCCCATTCACTAAATCAACAGGGTGAGCCCATTGTGTGCCTAGTACTGGTCTAAATGGAGGAGCAGTTATTCATTCTTTACACTTGTTTTTTTGTTTTGTTTTGTTTTTTCTTTCAAAACGTCCACCAGAAACATACAATTTGTTCAAATTTGTTCAGCAAAAACCTGGACACACTCTACTATAGAGTCCTTAAATACTGACAGAAGACACATTTTGATTTGTATATATTTAAGCAACTGAGAAGCTATCTTCAGATGCAGTTTTTAGCAATCAAGTGCAAGGGAGCTTGGGAAAATGGGGGTTATAAGCTAGCTCTCTTCAAAAGCTGTGTTTCAACAAGCTTTACCAAAACTAGTTTCAGGGAATTCTGCACCACAGCATGGCAAAAGATAACCAGGTTGGTGGCAGTTGGCAATCTAAAAGAAGCACATTAAAATCACCCTCCCTCCAACCTGCTACTGTCATCTGAGGCTGTTTGGTTTCTCAAGCTAGCAGCCAGCTTCCTCAGGGCAAGAACAGCATCACAGCTCCGGGGTTTATACATGCAGGTGACTAGCTGGGTTTTTTTTAACATCTCTTTTGTACTGAATGCTCTCTCTGTCCTGTTCTCAGCTACTTATTCATCAGCCATCCAAAAGAAAAGACTAGTCCTCTTCTAGGCTGTCACATGGCTGGTGACCAGAAGCTAACCACGCCACACAGTCCCTGCCTCCTGTGGGGCTTTTACCCGGTTGTGGTCTTGTCATGCATCCTATGAGCATAAAAAAGCTGCACAGGCCTAAAGCTAAGATAATTATTTAGGCTCAAAGGCACTGCAGGAAAGTGACCATTTTTCAAGCAGTTCACTGCCTGCTCCAGAGTATAAAAATCAAAGGTACTTTTTGCACAGTAACCACGGTAACTATTTTCACTGCAGGAAGGAGCTAGCAGCATTCCCAGGATGTCAAATAGCCCCAAACTCAGAGATTTTCTAGGACTGTCTAGATAAGCTAATCTTATCCATGTAAGAATGTTATTCCTGAATCTAGGGTTTCCTACTCACACGAAGGCACCAGAAACCAGTGTCCTGGGATTATAAATGACAAATGCCATGAATGTTTTACTTCACTGGAATGACTGTCTAATGGACACACAGAAACGTAATGACAATATGGAGGACAATAATAAGCAGGTGGCCAGTGAACGTGATTTAACATGTTCTCTGGCTTTCCCTCCTACTAGCAGACCAGGTTAGGCAATAATCTCTCAGTGACAGACCAACTTGTGGCTGAAGGCATTTAAGAAATTGTCCCATCCCTAGAAGGATCAGAGTAGGAGATGCTTTTGCTGGTTTAATGCCAGAATAGGGAGAATAATGTAAGTTGCTGTCTATACCTAAGAAGATCTCTATTTCTTTTCAGTGGACAGCTACAGCTTTCTGGTACCATCTCTGATCTATGCACATGCAGGTCAGCCTGCACTATTGTCAACCTCAGTTGTTCTCCAGGAGTCATCTTCCTTGGTTTTTGAAACAGTATCTCTTTGGACTAGAGCTCAGTGAGTAGCCAAGGCTGGCCAGTGAGTGGAGAGCCAGAGATGAACATTAAGTAGCCTACTCTGTCACTCTCTATTCTCTGGAGGCAGGCTGTCTCAATGACCCTGGCAGCTAAGCCCTGGGTTTTTATACGTGTGCCAGGCATTTAAACACAAGTCCTCATACATGCTCCATAAGGGCCCATTCTGACAAAGATATTTTACACTATGCAAAACAAGAAGCTAAGGAAGGGATACAAGACTCTAAAGTCTTAACAGAAAGGCTGCCTCATCATTATTTATAAAATGTATCAGAATAAAAGCCAACAGTATTTATCGTCTTTAAACATCATTTAGCAGATACCTGGGTAAATTTCTTAGAGTCTGGTGAGACAATATTATCAAAAGAGATATCCTAGCAATTATTCTAACATTAATTTCCATAGCTCATTTGAGCCCAAAAAGGGAGAAGATAGAAACACTGTGTCAAATCAATCAAAATTAAGAGAATCAAAATGAGGTAATTTGCTTCATGATCAAGCCCTGTTACGATGTAGAATAAAGTCAAGTCTCTACCACCAAAATGCTTCTCAGCCTGGGAAATCTTTCACATCCTCAAATTCCAACTATTCTTTGCTATTACAGTTACACATAGTATCCATATATTCACAAACAGAATTAACAGGAAGCAAGAGTACACTTTGTAGGTGGTCCTGCCTGAAAAAGGTTCAATCCAGTGCCTAATTTTCCATCCAAGTATCAAATCAGGCATTCCTTTTTTCTGGGAACACCTCTCTTTTACATAAGGTAGAGCCAACACCTACATCACATCACTAACCTTGCAATAGGCACTTACTTTTTTGTTTCACAAATAAGAAGTGAATGATTTGGCCCAGTCATTTGAAAATAAGTATGTCTGACTCTTAGCCATTATGCCATAAACAATGTCTAAATTCATCATCTTGCATGGAGAACTCCTAGGCAGGAAAGGATGTGACTTTTCATCTTTCATTCTCCAGACTGGTACAACATCCAAAAAATTATACATTCCTGTTCAATAAAGGATACACTCTGGAGTGGACAGAAGCTAACATTTACATCCTTGCTCAGACTATTTGGTTAACATGTAGAATGGTAGGTAAC